GATGATAAAAATGTCTGGGTACCTAAACTCCTCCAAACCTTTCACAGAAAATACCCTGACAAACCCCCGATGGATTAGTGGTTTAACTTGGTTTACATTGCTTTACCTATGTGTATGTTGTTGTTTTTGTTTTACGGCTAACGCCTCTGTTATGGGGGGGCAAATGTCAACGTGGACATCTTCACTTTCCTTCAAGCTTGCTGCCAGATGCCATTGAAATGGTGTCTGTGTGTGGGGGAAAGCATGGGTATTTGGGAGGGGAAGCATGCACGAAGTGAAACTGGAATTTCTGAGAAGTGATGGGGAGGCTTGGATGACCAGCTTGGGTTGTTTAACACAGAGGTCCCCAACCTTTTGGGTACCACGGACCGGTTCCAAGGAGAGAGGTTTTTCTGCAGACTGGAGGGGGCATGGTTTTGTGTGCTGCCTGCATCCCGCAGACAGGGGTTTGCTTGTTTGTGTGGACTGGTTGCTAGCATGCCGTGGCCTGGTACCAGTTCACAGACTGGGGGTTGGGAACCCCTGGTTTAACATCTTCAAGGCCACCCATCCTGGGAAAGGCATGTATGAAGGAGGAGCAATGCACATGGATCAGAGATGTTCTCAAACAACTTCCTGGCCGATGATTGAACTTCCTGGCTACCAAGGGGTAGATTCTGAGGTTAGTTTCAATTTGTCTCATTGTGTATGTTTTACTTCAGACCTTGCCTAACTTTTGTTCTTTCCTAGTAAAACTACCTTTTCTCTGAATCTATGGAGTCAAGGGTTTTCTTTCCTAGGGATTGATCGGAGGCAGCCCTGACATCTTGGCAGAATTCTGATTGAAATGTTATGAAAAGTGACAATGAGCAAATTTTGGTAATGCAGTGTGGTTTTCAACTGAGCAGAGGATAAATGTACAGATTTTTGTTGTTTTCTACATCGCTGAGATAGCCATGGAGAAAGACACTATTATATATTTGTTGATTTAGCTAAATTTTATAATAAACCGAATTGTGTTTAATTATGGAAGGCTTTGAGCAAAAATGGAGTTGATAGTTGGAGGTTAAATGGAATAGGAGCTGCATATCAAGAAAGTAAAATGTGTGAGAATAAATTATTCAGCACTGAGGACAAGGTTCCTCCTTCCCTGATTCCCATGGCTCTCATTTTACAAGGGTTCTGCAAGTCTTTAAAGATGAGGCTTTGCTACCAGACATGGGGTTAAATCATTTGTTGAGCCCCTGGTGGGTTTTTTTTATAAGGTAATGGATTGTTTTGTCTGGACAGACATGTCCATTTCTCTTTTGTTTTTTCCTTTTTTCTAACCTATATAAGATGCCTAGATTCATTCTGTCAGGCAGCCTTCCAAATCAAATTAAATCAAAGAATGTTGGAAATGTGTTCATCAAGCACAGAAAAGCATACTGTATTTTTTATAGAGAAATGATGTTTTATTGACTGAAAAACCCAAAGATTTTTAGTGTTAGACTGCATGATAAAATGAGATGGCTCTTATAATTAATGTATCAAAAACCAAGATTGGTAAGAGAAATGGAGAAAACTATTGCAAGTTGCCCAAAATGGTAAAAAATGAGAACAAGTACAGTAGTGGCCAAAATTGTGGAAACCTTTTGAGAAAAGTATACATTTGAGGTTTGGTGGCTAATAACACCACTTTGTTTTGGAGTTAGTACCATAAAATTACATATCAATGTAAAATGGGCACAAAATATTCAAGAGCTGATTCTATTGGACACATGGGAGACAATTTGGATTAGAAATGTAAAATGTACCCAAGCTCAAAATTTAAGAGAAAATTTTTATAAAATGTTTTATAGGTGGCATTTGGATCCTCAAAAGCTGTCTTGTATGTATCCTAATTTATAGCCCAAATGTTGGAGATGTGGAAGCTTAGATGCAACTTATTTTCATATTTGGTGGACTTGTAGAAATATAAAAGCTTTTTGGATTAAGATTTGGTGGAACATTCAAAAGATTTTTAAGAGAAAGATAAAGTTTACGCCACAATTATTTTTGTTAAGTGTTATTGTAGATTTTGATGTTAAAGAAATTAATTTGATGTTGAATCTTATAACAGCTGCAAGATTATTGGTGGGGCAATATTGGAAGAAAGATTCTTTGCCTACTATGGAAGAATGGATACTCAATGGCAAAAATTTCCGCTTATTTGAAGGACTACTCATAAGAAAGATATATTTCGGTTTGGAGAAGATGGATAGATTATATTCAGAATAAATATGAGACTAAAAAGTATTATCTAGCTTATGAGTAAATTTTAGATTATTATTAATAGTTTAATATGGTAGAATTTATATTAGTCTTAGTTTTATGGTTTAATTATATTATTATTTTTGTATTTAATTTGTTAATATTTATTTTGAAAAGGAGTTAAAGTATGTTATGGATTTGATTGTTTGTATAGTTGGGTAATGTTAGTTAGATTATGATTGCTTATTTGTAACCCTATAATCAGCTCTGGGAAGTGGGGGAGGGGTGGGAGGGATTTGGGATATATATTGTATAAAATCTTTAAAACTTTTAATAAAAAAAATTACATATCAATGGAAAGATAATTTAATCAAGAATGTAATGCAATAACTTTTATGAAGGATTGCTATTAGAATAGCAGTTATAAAGAAGAAAAATGAAACACAGAAAAAATGAGATATACAAAAATTATCACCATAGAAAAAACGAGATATACAAAAATTATCACGTCAGTTAGTTGGGTAATCTTTAGCATGAATTACGGCCTTACAACGTCTTCCCATGGAGTGAACCAAGTCCTTTAGTTCTGCAGCTGTTATAATGTGAAACCAAGATTGAATGATTGCTTCTATTAACTGGGTTTTATTGCTGGGTTACTTCTGACTAACAAGTTTCTTTAGTCGGCTCCATAGATTTTCAATTGAGTTAAGGTCTGGGCTACTCCCAGGCCATTCCGGCAGTAGAATATGATTATCTTGAAACCACTTTTTGCACACAGCAGCAACATGACATGGAGCTGAATCCTGTTGAAATATAAATGCTTCATTGTCTTGGAAAAGATCATGTGCGGAAGGCTTCAGTTTGGGCTCAAGTATTTCATTAATGTATTTTTGGCCATTTATATTCCCATTAATCACACAAATTCTGCCCACAGATTTTGATGTCATACAACCCCAGATCATAACACTAACTGGATGTTTCACGGTACATGTAATGCAATCAGGATGCAAATCTTCTTCGATTCTTCTCCTTATATATTTTATGCCATCACTAGCAAATACGAGGTTTTGGTCTCATCACTCCAAATAACACTGTCCCATTGTTCCTCTGTCCAGGTAACATGGGTTTTAGCCCAGCTTAGTCTTTTCAACCTTTGTTGGAGAGATAAAAGAGGCTTTTTTCGTGGAATTCTAGATTTTAGGCCAAATTCCTGCAGTCTGCGCCGAATAGTCCTTGCACTCAACTTCACATTGCATTGCACCATTTCATCTTGTATACACCCAGATGATTTTCTTCTGTCACGTAGGCACAGTCTCTTAATTCTTCTATCATCACTTGCTGTTGTGCACCTTTTCCTGCCTTTACCAATGTGGTTTTGTAGTGACTTAGTCTCTTTATACCTCTTCAAAAACTTAGAAATGCTACCTTTGGCTAAGTTTCCACCAATTTTTCTTCTAATTTCTTTATGACTGTAGCCTTGTTCACTTAATAATACTATTTTACATTGCTTTCTGGGTGACTAGTCAACTCTTTGCATCATTACTTTAATTTTATTACGTTTTACAAGATCACTAAATGAAAGAACACAAAAAAACCCCAACTAACTTGATAGCGATCACATAACACACTGACAAATGTCCTCCTCTCAGCTTCAATACATATCAATAACTGAATCCTACTGTAATCTGATTGGCTCATTGCCAAAACAAGATGACAGCTAATTGGCTCTCTAAATACTCATGCTCACTGGCTACAATCAGATGAAGGAAAGCTACCTGATATCAACCTAAGCAAGTTGTGCTTCCTTTTTTTGGTTATTTGGCTAGAGCGTTTTCATAGAATTCAGATAACTGAACAAACTTTGTTGCATTATATTCCTGATTAAATTATCTTTCCATTGATATATAATTTTATGGTACTACTCCAAAAAAAGGAGTGTTATCAGCCATCAAACCTCAAATTTCCCAAAAAGTTTCCACAATTTTGGCCACTACTATAGATTATGTTGTGCACTTTAGTAGAATGTTTACTACAGGTGGGGAAATATTGGGACAAATGTTAAGAAATGCATATGTGGCAGAAAGTTAGTAGGTACTAGGTGACTTATTAGCAGAAATAAATGTCTGTTGAAAGCAGAGAAAAGGGCTGTGCATAAGAACAAAATTCTGCTCATTTGTTACATGGAAATGAAAAATGAGCATGTTAGAATTGGAGCAATGTGTTTGGGACTGGGTTCAAGAGGACTGGGTGGTAAGGCAAGTGAACAGACTCAAGAATGGCTGATAAATAAGGTGAACAATATAAATGTGAATGAAAACTTTGAAGAATAATGAAAAGCAATGTTGAATCAATTTGGTTATATAGGAGGATCAAATTTAAAAAAAAAATAAACAAGCACATGAAAGAAGAGAGAATGAGAGAAAGGGAAGACCAGGAAAATAGTGGTTCGATGGAGATAATAAGAGACAAAAGTTTAAGAACAAAAAAATTATGTACGAAACAGTGCACGGATGAGGTAAAAACAAGGATAATTCACAAGGATACAATTTTGCCTTCACACCTTATTTTGTACCACACTTTCTTATTTTACTATGCTCTAATTAATTATTCAGCCCCAAAATGAAGAACATGATCAGTGTAATGGTGTTTATATGTGAGAAACAACATCTGTTGTACTAAATGTCTGTAACAACTTTAGCTATATTAAAGAGCTGAAGCTATTATCTATGTCCAAAGTATTAATAAAACCAGACTGCTAATCATTGGTGAATATTATCCATGTTACTTACCTTATCTACTGCTTTTCTAACTATCTCTTTATACTCTTCTTTAGAAATATCTTTATTTTGATAGAAAGGCTTGATAGCAAGTTTTACTTCTTGTGCAGCTTTTTCTTGAATTAATAATTTCTAGAAAAAATTATTTAGGAAAAGAGCGCATATACACATCAACATTTTTAAAGTGATTAATACCAACTTCAAATACCATAAATGCTAATCTCCACAGCGTAATCCCTGACTACAAAGCACACATGCCCTTGTACTTTCTAAAATATAACATTAATATTAGAAGAGATATATGACAATCAACAAAAATATGTTACTCGGTGGGGAAATTTATTATGAATATTAGATTGTTCATGTCACCTCTAGCCATAAGTGGCTAAAGATTATTCAATAACTGACTGGAACAAAATATTTCTTTGTCTAAAGAAGGTTAACATGCTATTGCCTGCACAGGTACTGGTTCCAACATTTTAGTAAAACTTCTTTTACAGTACCTCCATCTTTTCCTCTTTTTAAAAAAACAAAACAAAAAACAAACAGCTAATATAGGTAGAAGAGTGGCTTGAGAACATAGTATCAAAGTAGATCTGATATGTATGTTTTGTATCAGGATACAAACTGTAAAATTCTTACATTCAATGAAAAAAATAACAGATTATAAAGATGACCGATGCAAACATTATTTTCAAGGCAATTTATCCCTATTTTTAATTATTCAAAATTATTCATGTTACTTTTTGCTTTGAACTTGCCTGGTCTTTTTTGGAACTATCTGCGCTGGCTTCCACTGTCACATTTATTTTTTTCTCCATCAATTTTACAGCCGCATTTGAGGATTTGATATTATTTGTTGATGCTGTGTTACCCGAACTCGGTCCTTGAATAGATTCCACAGTTACCAGAGCAGACAAGTGTGTTGTATTCATGCTGTTAACAACATGGGAAGTAGTTGGAGCAGCCTGTTTTAAAAAGTTAAGAGAATTTAGCGTCCAACTAGTTATATGCAGTACCATTGCACAGAATTCTAAACTGCAAATGAATTAAGGAGATGCCACTATCTCCAATATGTATACAACTTGCAGAATATACAATTAATGGGTAGGGGAAAACCCCTTATATTATTCAAGTTGAAAGAGCTCACAATGTGTTTCAAGAAGGGTGATGCTCAGCAAGTTGTAAATAGTAGAGGATCCTTTTTATATTATTTCCCCATTTTTCTTATTCCAATCATTTCAGAAATTTTTAATGGTGGCTTAATAAGTAATGGCCTTGTTTAGAGAGAAAATCAGTTATGTATGAGCACTATTATGGACAGTTATAAAGAAAGAAGAAATCCAATGATGAGGCTGATTCTTGATGTAATGGCAGCTAGTTGAACAGCTCATAAAACATCACAACAAGGCAATGTAATAAGCAGCAAATTTCATGAACATGGTTTTATACCCAGATCAGTTAACGAAGTTGGAAGAATGTTATTTTTTTGGTTTTACTGTCTTAGAATCCTTGACACATCAGCATTATGGCAAACATTTAGACCCCTTTCCCAAGATGGCTTAGATAGTCCCCCTCCCAAAAGTGTTTATGATGTGGCACAGTAAGCGCTGGCAAGCAGAAATAAGTTGTAGTGTAGGTCTGGGCAACTATGGCCCCTTGACAACCTGTGGACTTCCACTCCCAGAATTCCTGAGTCAGCCTGCTAGCTCAGGAATTCTGGGAGTGGAAGTCCACAGGTTGTCAAGGGGCCATAGTTGCCCAGACCTGCCGTAGTGGGTTGCTGTAGAGCAAAGCATTTCAACCGGTGGTACGCATACCACCAGTAGTACTTTGGCACCTGGCAGGTGGTACGTGACTGTCCTAGAGAAGTGGTAACAGGGCAGAGAGGAATGAGCTGCCACACAAGCCCAAAGGACAGAAAGCTGGAGCTGCGGGTCTGTCGGGGCTCGGCAGAAGCCCAAGGATTAGCAACTGGGCTCCACCTGACCGGCGCTTTCGGAAACTGGAGGTGCCCTGAAGAGAAAAGGAGGAGGAAGGGGTGAGAAAGGAGAGGCTATAAAAGGAGGTTATGGTGGGAAAGGGCCAGCGAGGGACTGCCCCCGCCCTGCCCCTTGAGCGTGTGAAGAGGAGGCGGCGAGTGCCCGGCTTCCCTGCTGACCGTCCCTGCTGACCACTAAGAAAGAAAAAAGACAAGAGAAGCGCTTCCCTTTCCCCCAGGATACCAGTGCTCGGGTGCTTGCCGCCTTTTCTGTGCACTCTCAGGGGGTGGGGCAGAGATGGTGGGGGGGGGCCTTGCTGGCTTCAGGGCTCCCTCTGGATGTAAGGTCGAGCGCATTCTGGCTTTGATGGCCACCAGTAGATCAGCGCCACGCCCGCTTGCTGACCTAGCCTCACAGCCACCAGGCTTCCCTTTCACTGAGATCGCCCCACCTGCGTAGGATAGCTACGGCGGGTGGCAGCATAGCCACCGGCAGCGCTGGCAATCTCTCCCCCTCCATCATCCCTTCCTGACTGCGGAGGAAGGAAACAGAAGGAAGGAAGGAAGGAAGGAAGGAAGGAAGGAAGGAAGGAAGGAAGGAAGGAAGGAAGGAAGGAAGGAAGGAAGGAAGGGAGGGAGGGGACTGCCTTTTGAGCACTTCTCAGGTTTATTTATTTTAGCTGCCCGAGGTTCCAGGCAGGAGATTTCCCATTCTGACCCTTCCCCCCATCGTTGCCTTTGCATGGCTCTCAGCTCAGCTCACCTCCTCCAGACCCTGCACGTGTGTGTGTGTGTGTGTGTGTGTGTGCATGCGCGTGAGGGGGGGTCTCACTCCTTGCAGCCCATGCTGTGACATTGGGGAGGAAAAGAATGGGAGAGATAAGAGAAGTTGTGATGGGAACTTCTTGCAGCCTTTCACAGAGCTGGGGGCGGGAACTGAGGGGGGCAGGGTGCAATGTGTCGGCAGGATGTTGAGAAAAAGAAACAAGTACTCCAAAAAACAAGTACTCCAAAAAACAAGCTTTCATTAATTTGCAGCCTGTCATCACAGGTCTCTGTTGAAGGTGCGGGGCTGCAAGGGGTGAGACCTTTGCTCGCGCCCCCCCCACACAAACATGTGTGCAGGTCTGGGAGAAGTGAGCTGAGAACCACACAGAGGCAACGACGGGGGAGTGGTCAAAATGTGAAGCCTATGCCCACCGCTATCTGCCTGTTGCACCTCTGTCCGGAGCCTTTGACAGTTTAAAAAAAAAAAAAGGAGAGGAAGGAAGGAAGGAAGGAAGGAAGGAAGGAAGGAAGGAAGGAAGGAAGGAAGGAAGGAAGGAAGGAAGGAAGGAGGCAAATTGGCTGGAAATGCCCCGTTTGAAGGAGAAAGCAATTTTGTGTGCTGTTTTGTCACAGACAGAACTTTGTTGTCAATCCAAGTTAACATTGATATTCTTGAATTGTGAGCTCTTCAGAAAGTATCCCCTCCTTGTGTGTTTCTAACAGCCATTTCCAGTGGGGAAAACAGGACAAAGCAGAGTGGGGAAAAATATTTTCATTTGCTTTATTTCCAGTCTGAATTAGACCGAGGCAGGGTCTACAAGAGAGCCCTTTTAAGGATTATGTATTAATAGAAAAGCAACTAAGCTACCTCTGTTCCTAAACGCTAAAGCTGTTGCACATAAAAAAAAGGAGGAGCTCTGATCAACTATCACAGCCACCATTTTGACAGTTTTGCTGTAATGTTATCTGTGTATGCCCCCATTAAATGCAACCACGGGATAAATATGAGCCTGGTTTGTTCTCAATCTTTAAAGTGGACACAAACTACTAGCAAAAGTGCATTTCATCACAAGGCAGGGAGGCATCGAGAAATATTTCCTCTTTTGTATTTGAGCATCCAAGAAGGGACAGGAAAGGAGAAAGGGAAAGAAGAAAGACAAAGAAAAAAGAAGGAAAGAGGGGAAGAGAGCAAGGAAGGAAAAGAAGGAAAGAGGGGAAGAAAAAGGAAAGGAAAATGAAGAGGGAGAAGGAAGGAAGAGGGAGGCAGGGTCTGAGGGAAGTCCTGCCATAGCACTTTGCCGTGACCAGCCCTGCTGCCCTTTTGCCATCCCCTTGTCCCCTCTTCCTGACTCTCCTGGTGGTCTCCATCCTATCGCTCAGGAGGCTTTGTCTCCTCGCATGGAGACCTTCTGACCCACACATTTTGCCCTCCCACACACACCATGAGCAACCTGGCCAAGGAGAGCGAGCCAAGCAGCAGCAGCAGCCTCGAGAAGGTAAGCGCAGCCAGAGGCCTCCTTGAAGAAGGCTGGGCTGAGTTGGAAGTCAATGCCTTTTATTTTTCCCTTCTCCCCCTCACTTTTTTCCTTCACCCTTCGCTCGCAAAAGCCCCCCTCTCTCTCACAAACATTCTCCCAGAAAGCCTTTCTTCTGTCTCTCTCACACACATTCTCCCAGAAAGCTTTTCCTCCATCTGTCTCACACATTCTCCCAGAAAGCCTTTCGTCCGTCTCTCTCATACACTTCTCCCAGAAAGCTGGGCTCCAGCTGACTGGTGCTTCTGGGGGGCTCAGCAGAAGCGCCACGATCAGCGACTGCTCAAGCTGATCGGCGCTTCTTCAGGGCTCAGCAGAAACGTCAGGATCAGTGCTGGGCTCCAGCTGATCGGCGCTTCTTGGGGGCTGAGCAGAAGCGCCTATCAGCTGTAGCTGCATGCACTGATCCTGGGGCTTCTGCCAAGCCCCCATAGCCCTGCAGAAGCATACGCTGATCCTGGGGCTCCTGCCCAGCTAACTTGCTTGCTCGCCCTTCCAAAAACACCCGCTCACTCGCCCTTCTGAAAATATGCCACTCGCTAGCTCACGTGCCCTTCCTGAAAACATGCCGCTCACTAAACAGGCCGCTTGCTCACGTGCCTGCCCGAAAACAGGCCGCTCGCTAAACCGGCCGCTCGCTCACATGCCCTTTGCCTGAAAACAGGCCGCTTGCTAAACAGGCCGCTCGCTCACGCGCCCTTCCCCGAAAACATGCTGCTTGCTCTGTCTCTCCTCACTGCTTTGGTAAGAAAAGCCTCTTCTCTTCTTGCTCTTTCTCTCCCTCTCCTGCCCAAACCTGCCCCTTTTATACTTCTCTTCTCTCCGCCCTGTGTGGTGAGTACTTGCCAGCCACTAGACCCGGCAGCTGAGTCTGGGTAATCAGAGGAGGAGGAGGAGGGGCCTGGAGAGCCATCAGAGTCAGAGGAAGGCTCTGATGAGCTCCAGGATTTACAATCTGATGAAGAGCCTGGCCCTTCCAGTCGTGCTCAGGCTAAGACTCAGCTGTGTGGGGAAGCTGAATCAGACTCTGAGGATTCACAGCTGGAACACATTAGAGATGCTCACAAACACAGATTGGCAACAAGAGCAGAACACAGGGAAGCAATGGGGCAACTCCAAGGGAGGAGGAGAAGGCATTGAGGAGCCACGCCTTAGGGCTGCATAATAAAAAGGGAAGGTATGGGCGGTGCTGATTGCTGAAGGCAACTGTATGCAAAGGACTCAAGTTTCATGGAATCCTGTTTTGTTTGCCTTGTTTGTGAACACTTCTCCATTTGAATCGTGTTTTGTTGGCCTTGGACAATTCTCCGTTTACATCGTGTTTTGTTTGCCTTTGCTTTTGGGATATTTTGCAGGTCTGTACCTAACTAATAAAAGGGGTTTGTTTTCCCTGCATTTCCAGCCTACTTGTTAAAAGAGGGGTTTGTCCTTGTGAATTAACAAGGACTCACATAGGCTGGGATAGAACACCCTCCTCCTCTTCTCTTCCAGGTGTGCCGGAAGCTCCATTACCATGTGGCCATGTGCACTGATCCTGGCGCTTCTGCCAAGCTCTGCAGCTCCTGCTGATCTCCTCTAGTCTGTGCAGCACCACTTTAGCTGGTTCACTCCCCCACTACACTTGACTAGGGGTCGTGTACCACCTGCCAGGTGCTAAATTACCAACGGTGGTACGTGTACCACCAGTTGAAAAGTCCTGCTGTAGAGAACCAGTCACAGCAGTTTCTATATGGTTTTGGGTCAATCACATGCCTTAGCCCAATCTACCTCTCAGGTTTACTGCTATGCAGATAAAACAGATGCATGCCACACTGCCTTGAATTCCTGAAGGCAAGTTGGGATTTTAACACATCGATTATAAGAACAATAACAAAATCACATACAACACCCAGCCTGGTATATCTCCTTTCCATTTCCATTCTTGAAAAGAAAATAGAACAATCTGGATGAAATCCACCCTGCACCGGGACTCTCCCTATTCCCCGACCACAACTCTCAAACTCTCATAACAGAAGAGGAGACAACAGGTGAATGGATATTTTTCCTTATTGTGCCTCCAGGTCAAGACTTAATAATTGTTGAAAGGTGACAAGATAGTATTGTCTTTTAATGTACAAGAATTAAATGTAAAAATGTTAATCCATTTTAGCAACTTCTTGAGAAATTATTCTGCAAATATAATGGCCAGGTTATCTCAAAAAAGTAGTTTATTTATTTACTGCTTGGGTGCACATGTTCAGTACAAAAATTCTATGTGGCCAGTATGACCTGGTTTAATGTTGCCTTGCTTATTGTTTTAATTCAAGAAAACTTATCATTAAGGCCAATTCTCTCACTAGTCATAGGAGTCTGGGAATTAGTAAATATGGGAAAGAATAAAACCCAGTCTTTGGGCTAACCAGTACTGAATATTTTGCTCGTGTTGGAAAACATGAGAGGAAGTACCTTGCAATTCAGAGGTTAATCTAGCCTCCTTAAGATCAAAATGATTTGATTGAATATACTGAAATTAAAGCTCCATTCATTTGAGTTCAGATATTCATCACTGAACCACATTTGCCACTATACTGAAGGTTTCCTACAGATTTTCTTCAGTCCGGAGATAGACTAGTTGCTTCCTTTGTCAGTTGCCTAATAGCAGGAGTGTCAAACTGCCGGCCCGCGGGCCAGACGCATCATCAGGAAACCGCGCCCACCCCATTGCCGGCAATGGAGAAAAAGCTCCGATATGTTGCACGATGTCACATGATGTCGTGAGTTTGACATGTCTGCCTAATAGGCAATGTAAGTGCCAATGTTTGTTACACTGCCTGTTAGAGGAATAATACTTTTTTTTGGAAGAGCTTGAAAGTTGCTCAAAGCTAGTCATGCTGCTTCAACTCAACAAAGTTTATGCTGCAGCTTCTTCTGCTCAAGATCCCTGAGCAAACTGGCCAAACAATGTATCTGAGGTTGGCTTTACAGTAAACCTGGTGTTCAAGGGTTCTTATTTCTGGTAAGGACTTTCAAAAGTCACCACTCCTATCACTTTTGATAGAATCATCTCTCATCTATAGGCTCTTTGGGCTATTAGCTTCAGAAAGGAGAGGAACATTCACTGCAGAGGCTGTAACTAGAATTCTGGTTATAGTATTAAAATTATCTAGGTCAGTGGTTCTCAACCTGTGGGTCGGGACCCCATTTGGGGTCAAACGACCATTTCATGGGGGTCGCCAAACCATGCTGTCCGCCATTTTTTTCCCTTTTCCCTAGCTGTCCTACTCCCTCTTATTGGTGGCCACACCCACTTGAGGGGTCACCACAACATGGGGAACTGTATTACGGGGTCACGGCATTAGAAAGGTTGAGAACCACTGATCTAGGTGATCATCTAGCCTTGGAAGATAGCAAGTCAAGAGATCAGATTCGGTAATCTGTAGAATTTATGTGATTAGTTGCTTGTTTCCTCTTCTTTGACAGATAGAACAGGCCTTTATGTTCCGACCTATAAACAGGACTTGTAAGTTGTACCCTACAGGAGGTCTTTATTGAACAGAAACTCCAAATTGTCAGGGATATGCACCACGATTCAGACATCCTTCCTCCATATGTTGAATTGGATCAACATATAGGGATAATATATATACTCAAGGACCAGCAAGGGGCTATGGTGATTACCATCATATTTGTACGTACCATGGGTGCAAGAGACAGGCCAAATGGAATATATTGGCAATCAGCACCTTTACATTTGAATCTCAAGAACTTTGCTTGTTGGGTGAACTGAAATGCAAAAAGTGTGGCCCAAAGATTAACTCCTCTAAGTTTAGTGAGCCTAACATCCTTTTTCTGGATATGTTCCACAATGGATTTCAGGGTTTCCATCTGGAACTTTCAATTCTTAAATGTTCACCTGCTCCAGATCAAAGATGGCACAACTATCTTTGTTCTTCTCAGGAAGAATGAAGAATACAGAGTACGAGCCTGAAAACTTTTCATATTGTGTGTTCATCTACATATTAAAGAAGCAATTTATGGCCTTCAATAATACTTGGTGCTTGGTTAGCTAGGAATGAAATGAATTTATCTTGGAGGAGCCATGTATCTGATGTAGTCCTGTGAATCATGTATTTGACATTATATGGATCCATAGGTTTTAACTTCAGGCTCAGAAACACCGTCTTGGCTCCACAATAGGAAGATATACTAAAAATAATTGCTTATTAAAATACATCTCCAGAAATTGATGCCCATATGTATATGCAAACAAATCAGCATATATACATATGTATGTTTATCCAGAGCTCAAGTATCTTAGAATACAAGCAAATATTTTTCAATGAGCTTCCAAATGAATAAACTTGGCTATTCCTAATATAATCACCGTATATACATACAAATATTTGGCGTTAAAAACAAGGTACCTACTTCTACACGTATTAACAGTTTGGAGGTTTTTAAACAACTAAAATAGGTACCTGCAACTGCTGTCCATCAAGTTGGGAAGCAATGAATTTAACTTGTTGAGATGGAGGAGGTGGTGGTGGCGGTGGAGGTGGTCCCTGAGTCACACTGGATGAAGCTGCTACCTGGACAAGAGGCAGTCCTGAATGAAGATGCATGGGCACTGGTGGAAGATTAAATGGATTGTGTTGAATGTTCATAATAGGAGTAGGAACACCCATTGTATACGGGAAAATACTCATTGGCTGATGCTGTGTATTTATTGGTGTCATTACATTCATCTGAGGTTGCAACACATTTACTGGTAGCTGAGAGGCATCACTTTGTTGGCTGGTTTGGTCTTTGAAGTTTGGATCTATCAGAGAGGAACAAACATTTTTTAAAAGTAGGTATACAAAACCATTATCCCTCCCCTCCCAAAAAGCAAAGCGATGTCCATGAACAGAAACTTATATCTGATCTGTCTCTTTCACTCACACTCCCCACATACTATTAAAATTACTGCCAATATATCAAGTGCTTTAGCACATTATGGTGAAATATTTTTCATGGCATTTATTGGAGATTCCACACCAAATCGCTTACTGGTAGTTCTCACTTAATAACCTCAATTGAGTTATTCTATCACCATGCATGGCAATCATTAAGTGAAACATCACATGATCATGACAAGCTTACAGTATCAGTTCCACTGTGATCATTAAGTGCATCACCTGTGAACATTAAGTGCAACATCGTATGACCATGACTTCAATTTTACTGCTACTTTCTCCATTGACTTTGCTTGTTGGAAGTAAGCTATGAAGCTTGCAAATGATTACGTGATCACGGGGATGCTGCAAAGGTCATAACTTCAAGGATTGGTTGTACAGCTACTTTTGAGCACTTTTGTAAGTCTGAATGGCTGCTACACAGGGCAGTCATTAACCAAGGACTACCTGTATTAAGCTTCAATCAATAATCTAGATTCACTTTGCTTTGCTTTGCTTGGGACAAATCCAGGATCGGTTAAAATCAGTGTCATTTAACCAAGATTCATTCAAATTTTATGCATATACATAGGCTTATAATGCATAAGGCTATCAAGTTTTTTAAAGTTGGTATTTGAATATACATATTGAAACTCTAAGAATCAAAACTAGTTTGGGGCAGGAGGTTAGGCAGCTTAAAGACTCAACTGGAAAGGGGCGTTGTCTTACTTGAACGCCTTTTCTCATCACGGAGATGGATAATCCACCAGTGGGTTGAGACTGTATTCCTGCCCAATCAGATCAGTCAGCCAAAGTTGCCACACCCGTCCTGGACCACGAGATCCCCAGTCTTGACACGAGCGAAGCCAATGATTGACAGCAAGATGTTTTGGCTCAAACTATCTGACCCTAAGCCCTCATGGTCTATAAGGGTGGGTGTGGATTATCCATCCCCGTGCTGAGAAAACGCGTTCAGGTAAGACAACGCCCCTTCTCCAGCACTGGAGATGGATAATCCACCAGTGGGACATACCAAAGCCTACTGTCCCTCAGGGTGGGAAATTGACTGGTCCTGTGTGGAACTTTGGTTTAAAACCTGCTGGAGAACCCTCCTGCTGAAGGAGGCATCTGCAGAGAAATATTTGTCGATTTTATAGTGACGAATGAAAGGGGAAGGTGATGCCCATGTGGCTGCTCTGCACACTTCTTCAATTGGGGCTTGCGTGGACCATGCTGCCGAAGTGGCCGCACTCCTTGTGGAGTGCACCGTGACGTGTCTGGGGACCAGCAAGGCCTCCACCTGGTATGCTCCAGCGATGCATGCCCTGATCCACCTACCCACAGTGGAAGAGGAGACCTTCCGACCCCTAGAGGAGGCATGAAAGGATATAAAGAGAGCCTCCAAACAGCGGAATTCCGCTGTCCGCGCGATGTAGTACCTTAGGGCCCTGCGGACGTCTAATGTATGCCATTGTCGTTCCAGGGCGTGTGTTGGATTTGAGCAAAAGTCCAGTAGGACTATTTCCTGCGACCTGTGAAATAGGAATTGACTTTTGGGATGAATGAAGGGTCTAGCCGTAGAACCACCCTGTCCCTGTGGAAGCAACACAGGTCCTTCCTTGTTGAGAGTGAGGCTAGCTCGGAGATACGACGAGCCGACGTAATTGCTACCAAGAATGCTACCTTGTGGGTTAGGTAGCGGATGTCACGTCTTTAGTGGTTCTAACAGTGCTCTGGTGAGAGCTTGCAATACCCGTGGTAGGTCCCATGAGGGATACCTGTGTACGGTGAGTGGCCTAATGTTCGCAGCCCCTTTGAGGAAGGAGCAAAGTAGGGGATGTTGACCCAGGGGTTCCCCCGAGTTCCTTGACAGTATTGTTGAGAGGGCGGCAACCTGTCTGCGCAGTGTGTTTGGCGCTAAGCCTCTCTCCAGGCCGCTTAGTAGGAATTCTAAAATGTTGGGAATCGTGAGTTCTCTGAAGGTCAGGCTCCGTTCGGAGCACCATGATTGGAAGTTTTTCCACGTGGCCTCATAAATACGGTTTGCGGAAGGGCGTCTGGAGGCCTGGATGACCCTGATCACTCCCTGGGAACAGAGTCCCTTTGCTAGGATCGACCGCTCAAGTGCCAGGCGGCTAGTTGTAGCCATTGTGGCTCTGGGTGGGAAATCACCCCCTGGCTGAGTGAAATCCTCTCCGGGGGGATCCGCCAGGGATCCGTGCGGGAGAGACTTCTCAAGTCTGTGAACCAAGGTCTCCTTGGCCAGTATGGGGCCACCAGAATTATCTCTGCTCGTTCCCGGAGTAGTTTGCATATTACGGCCGGGAGGAGAGGCAGTGGGGGAAAGGCGTATAGCAGGCCCTTTGGCCATGGGCTCCGCAATGCGTCTGCTCCACTCCCGCGGATGGAAATCGGGAGAAGAAGCGAATCAGCTGGGCATTGGATTGGGATGCGAATAGGTCTACTTGAGGACTGAAGCGATGGCAGATCTCCTTGAAGATTCTCGGGTGCAGGCGCCATTCCGAGTGATCCACTGTTGTTCTGCTCAATAGATCTGCCTGTGTGTTTGCTTCCCCTGATATGTGATTGGCCTTGATTGAGGCCAAGTTTTGTTCTGCCCAAGTCCCCAGTAGGCGGGCCTCGGACCATAGTGAGTGCCCCCCTGTCAATTTATGTGGGCTTTCGCTGTCACGTTGTCTGTAAGGACTAGTACGTGTTGGCGTTTTAGTACGCTGTGGAAGTGTCGTAGAGCCAGATGGATAGCTCGGAGTTCGAGCCAGTTTATGTTGTGTCGGAGTTCCACTGTGACCAGCGGCCCTGTGTCCACTTGATCCCGAGGTGTGCTCCCCAACCGAACAGGCTTGCGTCAATTGTGAGTACTAGTCTGTCCGGCTCCCTGAAGTGGGAGCCTCTGAGTAAGGCTGGTGATAGCCACCACGTGAGGGAACGTCGTACCCCTTGTGGCAGTTCTACCCTTTTCTGAGATGCACTGAGTTCCTGCCTCTGGGACGGAAGCATGAACCACTGCAGTTCCCGCAAGTGAAGCCTGGCCCATGGACCGATTGCTATGGTCGATATCATTTTCCCTAACAGTTGGGAGAGGCTGACCAGTGTTGCTGACTGCCATTGGCGCAGCTGGGTTATTGTCTCCCTTATGCTGTTTTGGCGTTCCTGGGAGAGATAAACCTTGTACTCTACTGTGTCTATTATGGCCCCGAGGTGAAGCAGTCTCGTTGAGGGGACCAGGTGGCTCTTGAGGAAATTCACCAAGAAACCGTGTTCCTGGAGCAGATCTACTACTAATTTGAGATCCGCCTGGGCGGAGCGGTTGGATGACGACTGGATTAATATGTCGTCCAGGTAGCACTGGACTCTGACCGGTATTGTCCTTAGATGAGCTGCCAGGACCGCTAGAATCTTGGTGAACACCCTGGGAGCCGAGGATAGGCCAAATGGGAGCGCCCTGTATTGGAAGTGGCGTCCCCTGTATGCGAACCGTAAGAACCGGCGGTGGGCCAGAGAGATGGAAATATGTAGATACGCCTCCGTGAGATCGACAGATGTCAGGAGGTCTCCTTTCCTTACGCTTCCTAGTATGGAGCGTAGTGTTTGCATCTTGAATTTGCGATACGCCAGATGGAAATTTAGACTCTTGAGATCTAGAATAGCCCTCCATCCCCCTGATGGTTTGGGAACAACAAACAGTATGGAGTAAAATCCCTGACCTCTCTGGTCCAGAGGCACCGGTTCTATGGCTCGGATACTCAGAAGATGTTGAACGGCCTCGTTCATGAGCTTTTTCTTTTTTTGGTTTCAGGGACAAGGGCAGGGGAGGAAGCGGTTTGGGGGGGGTTGGAGAGTAATTCTAGGAAGAGCCCGTGACGTATGGTGTTTCTGACCCATACGTCTGTGGTGGTTTCTTCCCACTGGTGGGCAAACTGGGCCAGTCTGCCCCCTATGGGAAGGGCTGATGGAGTCATCTGGAGCGGCGGAAGGGGCGGTTATTCCCCCGAAAGGGCCGCTTTCCCTGTGCTTGTTGCCTAGATCTTGGGTTTTGTCTGTCTGGTTGTCTTTCCTGCCTATCTTGTCTGGCCTGAAAGGACTGCGAAGACTGTGAGTAGATAAATCTGGTTTCTGAACCAAAGGACTGCTTCCTTCCATAGTGACCTGGGCGCCTCTCCTGTCTTTTGAGAAGGACCTTGCGTTTGTCCTTATTCTCTGTTAGGTAAGGCGTTAGTGCCTCGCCAAACAGTTTGGTCCCTTGATATGGGGCAGATGCTAGTTTCCATTTGGATTTAGCATCGGCTTGCCAGTGTTTTAACCACAGTAGCCGTCTGCCCATGATATTTGATGCTATGGCTCTGGCCGAGAATCTGGCTGCCTGGAGTGTTGCATCTGACGCATATTCGGTGGCTGCTACCATTTTGCTGAGTTCCTGATGGGTACGGATGTCCTCTGCTGGCACTCGGCTTTGTAATTGGTGGAGCCAACAGAGTGTGGCTCTGCTGAAAAAAGAAGCGGAGGTAGCGGCTCTCGTAGCCCAAGCTGCTGCCTGATGAGTTCTCCGGTAGGTGGACTCGCACTTGTGGTCCCGGCCTTAAGGGCCACGGAGAAGTCTCCTGATATGGCAGTGGCCGATACGAGGGGCCCTAAGGGCTCGTCCACCGTGGGTACCTCCAAAGCTTCCTCTAGTTCCTTGGCCACGCTGTACAACCTCTTGTCGGTATTCCCCGGAAGAGGTAGAGTAGCTGGTGAGATTCATCGCTTCCGGATCGCGTTAAGAAACAGGACTGGACAAGGAATACGGTGTTGTGTAGTTACCTTTTCAGTGAACCTGGGATCGGCCTCTGCGTCAGGGAGGGCGGGCTCTGTTGGAGTTCCCTGTCCGAGATGAGCCGTGGATTAGGCCTTACGCAGTAAGGTGACAAAAAGAGAAGGGTTAAAGAGACCATTGAATGAGGGCACCTCAGGTGGTCTGTCCTCGTCTTCGGACATTTGGACCTCCTGTGTTGCGCCTGGTTGGTCAAGATAGGAGTCCTCGGAAAGGGATGACACAGAAGGGGAGGATGGACATTGCTGGGCCTCCATTTCTTCCTGATGGCTGGTTCTGTGCCTTGAGACTGCTGGCCTGGGACCCTGGCCCCTGGCTTCTAGGGCTCGGTCTACTGCTTGCGCTATCAAGGCCGCTAGTCGGTCCTCTGATGGAATTAGATGGGCCGGGTTCGTTTGTGTCCCCGTTGCTGCGGGTATGAATGTGGCCTCGGGAATTCCCCGTGACCTCCGTGGCGACGAGGACTGGGATAGGGAGAACTCTCCAGTCCCGCCTCGTGCGGGAGACTGTGATGACTCCCCCGTTGACCAGACTCCCAGTGGGGATGATGGAACCCCCAGTGGTAATTCATGAACTAGGTCCCCGTTCTGATTCTTCTCGAGTCTGGCTCTATTCTGAGCCCTGGCAAATTCTTTTTCTAGGGCTTGGTGCCTCCTGCTTGCCTGCTTGTCTGCCTTCCTGGAAGCTTTTTTTGTAGACCTGGCCTTAGAGGCCGTTGTGTTGTCAGAACCCTCTGAACCGGGTGCACCTGACGTGGAAGGCAGGGCTCCTATAGAGGGGATGATCGCCTCTTCCATTCTCCCATAGCGCAGGGCCACGATAGGGGGACCCCGGTACTAGGAGAGTAAATACACTGGGTAAGGACAGGCGCACTACAGGGGGCGTCTGGAACCCAGGTACAGCCTGTGTGTCTAGGTTCGAATCAACGGCTGTGCACGGATAAGGACAGGCACACTAATGGGGATGCCTGGAATCCGGCCCGGTCTGCTATGGATAAGGACAGGCACACTATTTGGGGGGGGGGTGCCTGGAATCCACGCTATAGTGATCCGGATGCGTATAGGTCCACAAAGGGGGTCCTTAGGATCCGGAGGAGCCAGTTAATTAACTGACTAATTAATTTGTTACTTATTAATTAATTGAGTGTTAATTTATCAGAGGCGGGGAGGCGCCACGTCCTGGAAATGAAGTTGCTATTATGCTACTATCCTGTTACCTGAAGGACTTTTTTTGGGGGGGGGAATTTATTGATGGCTGTGAGTACTAGCTGTTCCGGTTTCTCCTGCTCCTCGTGAGACAGGAAACAGGCCGCTGCAACTGCTGATCCTCCCTACAACGGCCGCCTGAGTCTCCCTTTTAATCTGCGGCCAGTAGGAGCTACGAAGATCACACGTGCGCAACGGTGATCTCCGCGCATGCGCCTTGGCTCCCTTGCCTCAGCTTGCACCTAGGAGTCTGCTGTGCGTACGCAAAAATAGCCGCCGCGCATGCGCAGAAGCTTCTCTGGTCTACTCCATGTGCGTCGAGACAAAAGGGGGCCACACGTGTGCTGTGTGGCTGGTAATGGTGTCCGCTCAGCGTTTGGGAGCTCCCCGGTGAGGAGAAACAATGTTCCTCCTGGTTCCCGAGTCTATTAGGTGTTCTGCGCTGCTCCCGGCTTCTGGTGCGATTCCCTCCCCACATGCAACGCCGTCCCTCTTCTAACTTCCACCGACGGAGCTGCAGCTGCAAGCTCCGTTCGCATGAAACTGCCTCCCAGCTGAACAGACAGACCGATAGGGCGAGTGAGGGGTGGGGAAGGCAAGGGAATGGGAGAAAGGAGTTCTTCCTTCTCTACCAAGGATAATATCCCCAGGGGTAATCTCCCCCCCCCCGTGGGGATATTAGATTTAGGTTTCTTTCGAATTTAAATTTTTTTTAAGAAATTTTGTGGTAGTCCAATTAAACTAATTAAACTAAGCCTAATTATTTTCTACCAATTTTGCTACTGGAAGATAATCCACCAAAAAAATAGAGACTGTACCTGCCTAAGAGCCAAAGTTGAACGTCTGGTCACTGGGCGAGATCAGTCAAGACTGGGGATCTTGTGGTCCAGGACGGGCATGGCAACTTTGGCTGACTGATCTGATTGGGCAGGAATACAGTCTCAACCCACTGGTGGATTATCCATCTCCAGTGCTGGAGAATTAAGTATCTTAGGGACTTGACAATTCTGTTGCATCACAAAAGATAATTTAATTTAAAAAAACCAGCTTTTACAGCAAACATCAACAATATATGTGTATACTTACAAACAGGTGTTTGTAAAAATGGGACTTGGGGACTACATGTGAATTTCCACCAAGGAGTTAAGAGGCATAGGAGAAATAAGTACCTTGCTCAGATGCTACTTCTTCTTTTGCCCATATAGACTGTGGGCTTGAAGAATTTCTGCCTCTTCTTGAATAGTAATTCTGTACATCAGCTGGTAAAGTCTTTCTTATAGCCCAACTTGATGCAGATGTCCATCCAGATCTATCAGCAGGTGTATCAAAAGTGAAATCTTGTTCTGCTTTACGTTTGTATGGGTGATGTTCTGGAAATCTAGAAGTTTCATTGCCAGAACTATTTGCATTCCTTGAGTGGGCTTTCCTATTTTGCCAGTGACTTTCAGTTTGCTCTCCATATGTGAAAGCACCCCTGCCACGGCTGCCTCTGCCACGGCTGCCTCTGTCACGATTTGAATTCCAACCTGATCCATAATTTCCACTCCGTGAAGCCCCTGAATCATTGTGCCTATTTTCTTCCCATTGTTGATTTTTAAAATTCTCTCTTTCTCTATTCCTTGTTTCTGGAATTGAATTTATTCTTTCCATCACCCAGTCTGGATAATCCTTTCTGTACTGATCAGAAGAACTCTGCATATCTGCCTCTTTATTTACACTATCTCTTTCACTTTTCATACAGTCTGTTTGTTTCTGCTGTTCATTTCTTTTATATTTATCACTTCCTCTGGGGCTTCTCCAATTATCATTTGTCCATCTTTCCTTCCATCGAGGTGGTGAATAGCCATCCCTCTCATTTCTAGGGAATGAAGGTCCTTTACTTCTTGGCCTAGATCTGGACCTGGACCGAGATCTTGATCGTGACTGTGACCATCTCCTCCTACTTCTCCCTCTTTCATTATCTCTTCGAAATTCATTTTTATCATTAACTCTGTCACTACTGGGAGATCTACATTTGTGCCATGGAGGCGATTCCTTAGCTCGTGTCCAAGAGGAACTTATTCCATCTTTGATAGAATCCTTTTTTGGAGAGTTGGTTGGAGAATCCCTTCCTTCTCTTAAATGATCTTTTTTGGGAGAACTTAGCAGTGACTGTTTCTTTTCTTTCAGGTTATCTGTTCTGGGAGAACTGGATGGAGATATTATAGGATTTCTTTTAGGAGATTTGGATAAAGATCTCTGACTTTCTTTGAAAATATCCCTTTTGGGAGATCGAGACGTTCTACCTTCCCCCATAATTTCCCTGTTGGGAGATGGGGATTGAGATCTTTTCCCTTCTCGCTTGGACGGAGACCAAGTGGTTGATGGAGAATGAAACCGTGATCTTCTCGTTCGTGTCTTTTTATCTGTGAAACTTTCTTTTGCTTCTTTCTTATCAGGATTTGAAAATGATACAGAATGTTTACTATCATTTTGTAAGAAATTTGCTTTCTGCTCTATATTGTCATTTGCTAATGGATGGTCAAGCTGAGATGCATTCTGATCAATATTAAATAAATTATATTCTATAGATACTATCTCACTGTCATCTTTGTTAAACTGTTTAATATCTGCAGTACATATTTTGGTTGATGTATTAGTTTCAGTTTCTGGTTTATCATTTTCAAAAGATAGATTAAGTTTATTTTCTGAGGAAACATTTATTAATAAGTCAGTATTATTTAGATATTCATTGCTTACATACATATTTGGTTCTTTTTCTTCAATTTCAACATCTTCCACACCTAAAGAATGCAACAGTATTTCATTTGAGATATTATCTAGTGGCTCCTTGACTATTTCTTCTGTGAATTGAATTATGGGTTTCTCCAGGATTCCATCTATTGCTGAAGATTCTGGTTTTCTTAATTCATTTGTATGACAAGACACTGGTTTATTTGCTATTTCTTCAGATTCTAGTTTTTCCTGTAATTCATTTTTAGTACCAGTCAATAATTTATCTGCTACTGCCATAGATTCTGTTCCTCCTAGCAATTCATGTCTAGAAACAGCTGAAATATCACCTACTATTAACATGCATTCAGTTTTCCCTAATTCTTTCTCTGGACTTTCTATTATTTGATGTGTTACTGCCAGAGATTCCAATTTTGCTGGCAATTCAATGGTGGGGATACTTAGTTCTGGAGACTGATGAGTAAATGTAATATTATCATCACACAATTGTTCTCCAGAAATATTTAAATGCTGATCTTGCTCAGCGTTTTTATAATGTAACTTGTTTTCAGTTTCAATATCAACTTTTTCTTTATATTTTTCAGTGTTTCCCTCTAGAGTGAGCAAATACTCCTCATCACAAGAACCAGCAGTTTTTTCTAAGACAAGTGAAGGAGGATCTTGAACATATGAACCAGTCTCTAAGACATCTAATGTATTTTGCCCTTCACAGCAGTGTTCCTTAGGTTCCTTCTTATATGCTACATAAGAGTTTTCTAAACCATTAGAAGACTCAGTGTCAACATCATTTTTGTGAGTAAGGTCAAAGGTGCTATTTTCACTGTCTGCTAAATTGCCTTTGTCTAATAGCAAGCTTATCTCTGTCTCATCAGGTTCATCAAAATCTATATCACTAGTTGTTTTTCCATAACACCCAGAATTTCTTAGTTTCTTTTTAGCCAAAGGTTCCTGCTGTTTAACATTTCTTTTAGCTTTCCGTTTGGGAGTTAATTTCTCCAATTCTGTAAAAGAAACATTCACAAATGAGCTACCATCACCACTGGCCTCATATCCAGAGTTACTGGATTTTGGTGAGCTCTGAGACTGATATGAAGTTTCTGTTTTAATATTTCGGGCAGATCGTCTTCTGGGAGTAGTATCTGAAACCTTCCTTTTTGTTCCTCTTGTGCCAGTAGTACCGGAAGTCTGTTTTTTTTCTTCTCCTTCATGGACACATGTAACAACATGTCCTGATTTAGAAGATCCTAATATTTAAAATAAAAACTCTGTTGTGACAGGGTAAAAACAATTATTATTTTAGAAATACTAAAAAATTATTCAGAGAACAGATTCAATTATTTTATATTGCCGTAAGTTGGTTATTTTTTAGAAAAGTTATGTTACAGTTTAATGTACAGTCAACAAATTCACAGTTTAGCTGATGCTAACTCCTATCCTGTGAGCGCCTCTCATGTGTAGCAATAGCAATAACCAGCATACACTTTACAGCTCTCTTTGAGTGGTTCAGTCAGTATATTGCCCCCAACAATCTGGGTCCTCATTTTACTGACCTCGGAAGGATGGAAGGCGGAGTCAACCTTGAGTAGGTCAGGATCGAATTGCTGGCAGTCAGCAGAATTAGCCAGAAATACTGCATCCTAACTGCTGCACTACCACAGTATAAATCAATCACAAATGTAATTGTATAGAAGGTCTGCACTCATTTAGTATAAAGCTATCTGAGCAGCTAATGCTAAGTACTTTGCCCATTTATGGACTGTGTCAGGAGTATTCCTAATATCTGAGAACAGCAAAAACCCACAACTTGCTCCCAGGAATTACATGATTCTTCAAATACATTGTATTCGATTCACTCAAGAATCTATCCATTTCTCCTTTTATCCTTGTGGAAATTCTCATACTAGTTATTTGTTATACTTATCTTTTCAACTTCAATTTCAAAAGCTGTTTCTTTCATGCAGCCATTTATTCTCAAATCCCATGGAAAGAACCTCAAATATGTGAAAACACATTTATCTCTACCAATATTGTACTAAATGTATGGTATAGTTGCAAATGGTTTTTATTCTTAAAAAGTAGAATATTGTTATCCTCTAGATTCAAAGCTGTACATTCTGTCCTATCTACTTAAGTTTTCATTCTAATAAAGACTTATCCAGTTTTTTATATTAAAATGTTCACACACATGCAAAATCATTTAAACTATTTTTAAATACAAAATATACCATTACAACATACTGCCGAAACATTTTTATAATTTTGCAGCACAGCTATTAGGTGAAGGTGATTTAATTTTTACAATAGAACTTTGCTTTATATAAACTAAATAAAACTTACAAAAATAATTTACCAAAGTTTTCCAAAGGTGAAGTACTTATTGAAAAAAATGTTTCTAGAACAAGACAAGTTGCTATTTCTGCTTCAGAAGATATGGAAGAAATTCTGTAAAAAATGAATCCACAATAAAAACAAGCATTACATGAAGGGGGAAAAAATCTTTAAAGTTTTGCTATGCAGTCAAATTTTTTGCTGGTTTCAAATACTTTGGTATCTGTAAACACATAAGATTTGGGAAACATTTTCCCCAAATTAAGAAACCCCTATATTTTATATTCTGATAAATTATGCATTCTTTAGCAATCACTATCTAATCTCCAAAATACCTCTTAACATTGAGTTTATGAAATGTCCTTAAAAACTAGCACTTTGTAAATAGAATTCAATTCATGTAATTTCCTCTTGCTTCGGTTCTGAGTGATTTGCTATTTGCTATATGGTTATAAACCAAAAAGAAAACAAAACAGCACAGACCTCAGAGGATGAAAAGAAAAATGAAAAGGAACAAAAACAGTGTGTACATATATGGAAGAAATGCATATATAATTCTTGCTTCTTTTGAAATTAAAAAATGTTTGTTTCTTCTGAAATTAGTCCTAATTAATGTTAACCACGGCTGGTTTTTTTTTTTGGGGGGGGGAATGAATCAAACTTAATCAAAACCAAATTCCTAAAGCACTCAGTTAAGAATGGGAGAAACCCAAATATTACAGATGGTATAGATTTATTACTAACTCAAACATTTTTAATAAGAAGTTTCTAACCAGGTATAAATTTTACCTTGCCACTCTTGCTAATACAGAACAAGACAGTTCCAATTCTCTTCTCTTGTGTCTGATAACTGCGTCAATTTTGTTGATCTCTATACTGGAATAATTGGAAACATTTGAAAATAATTCAAATTATAATTCAAATAATTTAAAATAATTACAGGCACTTCATTTTAATACCACATATCAAAATTCAAGAAGACCTATAGTATTACTTTGTCAATAAACTCAAACAATATATTGAGAGCATTATATCTACCAACCATATACAAAGGTAACACTAAGGTAGAGATTCTCAAATTTTCTTAGTTCACAATATTTTAAGTGCCTCAGTATTTTTTTCATGGCCCTCCTAGGGGTTCCCAAACTGTGTGCTAGGGCAGCAAATGAACCATTCTACTTATTAAATACTAAAATAGCATTTACTGCTGTTGGATGTTCACTGGGGGCCTGACTTTGCACAATTTGAAAACCAGGGCACTAAGATTCAGTGTACATAAGGGCATATCATCCTTATGTCAATTGAACCTTTCAATTATTTAAAAAATAAAATATCAAAAATACAGATAGTTCTTGTTTAGAAACTGCATGTTCAGCAACTATTCAAAGGTGCTAAATGAGAAAACTTATGGCTGGTTCTTGAAATTGCAGCCAATTTGGGCTTTTGATAACTGCCTCTAAATATGACAGTCCTGCAATCACATGATCACAATCTGCAATCTTCTTTCAACAATTAAACAATTAAAATCAATGGGGAAGCAAACAGGAATCATGTGCGTGATTTGCTTAGCTAGAACTGCTGCTGTTAAGTTGGTGCTTTTTCACTTTATAACCATGTCTGTTAGTGATGGAGTTGCCAGTCTCAATTACAGTTGTTAATTGAGGATTACCTGTATCATACACTTAAAAGTTTGCAGATGAACTTTATATAAAATTAAATTTTGTAATAAATTTGCAATTTTATCTTTTAAATAATACCTTCACTTTTTTCAGATTCTCATTTCATTAAAAAAGGTTAGAAGGTACAAGTTAAATATTCTGGTTTAGAATACTTATTTTCTAAGTTTAAAAGACAATGTTGGGTAATTCATGTAACTGTTTATTATAAGTTTAATGTCCTTCTTCTGACTCTTTTGGAAGAATCTGGCCAGGCACTAATGAAGAGAGAATATTTCATTTCTTCATATGATTAAAAGGAATGTTATATTTTTTCCTCTCTAGTTACATATCCCTTCCATCATTAGCTGTGTCCACTTTTCCTAATCATGCCCACTTTTGAGTGCATGCTGTGTAAGACTAAATATATCTTACAGCCCAAAATTGGCTATTACCCCTAATTGAGAATATGCAATGACTTCTTCCTTTTTATACAGTGGGGCAAAAAAGTATTTAGTCAGCCACCAATTGTGTTTGAACTTGTTATCAGTATAAAAGAAACCTGTCCACAACCTCAAACAGTCACATTCCAAACTCCACTATGGTGAAGACCAAAGAGCTGTCGAAGGACACCAGAAACAAAATTGTAGACTTGTACCAGGCTGGGAAGACTGAATCTGCAATAGGCAAGCAGCTTGGTGTGAAGAAATCAACTGTGGGAGCAATAATTAGAAAATGGAAGACATACAAGACCACTGACAACCTCCCTCGATCTGGGGCTCCATGCAAGATCTCACCCGGTTGGGTCAACATGATCACAAGAACGGTGAGCAAAAATCCCAGAACCACACGGGGGGACCTAGTGAATGACCTGCAGACAGCTGGGACCAACGTAACAAAGGCAACCATCAGTAACACACTGCGCCGCCAGGGACTCAGATCCTGCAGTGCCAGACGTGTCCTCCTGCTTAAGCCAGTATATATCTGGGCCCATCTGAAGTTTACTAGAGAGCATTTGGATGATCCAGAAGAGGATTGGGAGAATGTCATATGGTCAGATGAAACCAAAGTAGAACTGTTTGGTAGAAACACAACTCGTCGTGTTTGGAGGAGAGAGAATGCTGAGTTGCATCCAAAGAACACCATACCTACTGTGAAGCATGAGGGTGGCAACATCATGCTTTGGGGCTGTTTCTCTGCAAAGGGACCAGGACGACTGATCTGTGTACAGGAAAGAATGAATGGGGCCATGTATCATGAGATTTTGAATGCAAACCTCCTCCCACCAGCAAGGGCATTGAAGATGAAACGTGGCTGGGTCTTTCAGCATGACAATGATCCCAAACACACCACCCGGGCAACGAAGGAGTAACTTCGTAAGAAGCATTTCAAAGTCCTGGAGTGACCTAGACAGTCTTCAGATCTCAACCCCCATAAAAAACCTTTGGAGGGAGTTGAAAGTCCGTGTTGCCCAGCGACAGCCCCAAAACATCACTGCTCTAGAGGAGATCTGCATGGAGGAATGGGCCAAGATACCAGCAACCTTGTGAAGACTTACAGAAAACGTGTGCCAACCTTGTGAAGACTTACAGAAAACGTTTGACCTCTGTCATTGCCAACAAAGGATATATAACCAAATATTGAGATGAACTTTTGATATTGACCACATACTTATTTTCCACCATAATTTGCAAATAAATTCTTTCCAAATCAGACAATGTGATTGTCTGGATTTGTTTTCTCATTTTGTCTCTAATAGTTGAGGTCTACCTATGATGACAATTACAGGTCTCTCTCATCTTTTTAAATGGGAGAACTTGCACAATTGGTGGCTGACTAAATACTTTTTTGCCCCACTGTATCTTATAGCTTCTTACTGACTGGTTCTGTCTACTAAAATCCCATTATGGTTTCACAAGCCTATATTTACAGACAGTTCTCACTTAACAACCACATCTGGACTGGCAACTTCGTTTCTAAACAATGTGGTTGTTAAGTGAAACATGTGATTGCACCTAATCACCCAATGTCAGTTCTTCTGCAGCTATTAAGTGAATCATCTGTGGTCTTAAGCACATCACATGACCACAACCTGTGACTTCCTATTGGTTTTCCCACTGACTTTGATTGATGGAAGTTAGCTGTGAAGGTTGCAAGTGGTGATCAGTCACCTGAAAACGCTGCAAACGTGCACCAGTTGCCAAGCACCCAAATCATGTACTCTAATATTAAAGTCCACATACCAAGTTTATTTTTCTAATCCAACAGAATGTTAGACAGCAAGCAGGATAATTATCTAAAGACTGAATAGAACAAATCTGACAGGGAGACAGGGAGACTAGACTAGTCTGGCAAAAGAAAAACTGAACCTGAAAATAGGCCAGGTCAAGAAATGGGTGTGTGTGGGGGGGGGAGGGAGCAGAAACTGAACACATTTTCCCAATGGAATTGGGCAGTGATCTGGAATGTTTCTAACTAAATTCCCTTCCTACTTGTTCTCGTGATCCAAAGCGGAATTATTATTAAGGGTTGGAAAGAATTCCAGAAACCACAATTTTTTTTATGTTGTTTGCTTTCTAATTACCTCTCTACGATAACATATAGCAGTTTGGGAGGAAAGCTAGTAACACAATTTCTCCCAAAAACCAAAACCCCCAAAACTATACTAGTATTTACAATACTATAAAATTTTGGATAAAAAATAGATTTATACTGACCTTTCATTTTGATAATTAGGAGATACATCAGAGAAACTACTATTAGAAGAAAATTTATTATACCAGTTACTTTTGAAGAATCTGTTCAAGCAGGTCTGTCTTTTAGGCTATAAAATAAAGTTATTTATGTTGGACATCCACCATAGTTTTTTTCCTCAAAATCTAATATACATACACACAAATCTTTCCAACTTGAGATGAAAAAGTATTTTCTTTATATTGTACTCATGAAAGTTTATTTGTTTATAAATTGCTCTAATCAAACCAATCTGAGTGGCACACAATTCCCCAAATCTTCACCTTTGTTTAAAAACAAGCACAGATAAATAATCAACAATTGAACTAAAAATCATAAATCCAAATTCACCATAGATAAAAACCAGAAACTGAACTATCAAAACCAAAATAACAATTCATCATGCAGAGGAAGAGTTGCAATAACCTCTTGTCAAGGATTAATAGAATAACCAAAAACCAGGAAGGAGGAGGCCATTCAAACATCAAAGGAAAGGAATAGTAACTGAAAAGGCATAGTTCTGTATCCCCTTATGGGTGGCAATTCAAGTAACATGAAGAGAAATTGTCCTATAAGATCATGTTGGGCAATCAGATATTCAGAAAATGCTGCAGGTCCTGACTTCAAAAGGTATTAAAAAACACAACTAAATCTTGCTCATCAGCTTCATGCAGATGTTAAATAGGAGCAAAACCATCCAGACACTATTGTTCTCCATATATAGACAATTCCCAACATACTCTACCTGCATGAGAGAGCACACATTTAGCACATAAAAAGTATGCACCCTATCCTATACATTTGGTGCAAGTGCTACTTGGAAATTCAGGAGCTGAAACATACTTTATAGTTTAGTTAGGCCATTTCAATTAGTATGGATTGGAAAAATGTTTTATCACACCACACTGATGATGAATAGTGATCACAGATATAGGTATTTTTAAATGTACTAAAACCCATGATAGTTTGAATTCTTCAGTTGCTTTAAATCTTGGTTACATGTATACACATCTCATTTCATGAATGTTAGTTTAATCTTCTCTTAAAGCTCTGAATATTTCAGAATTTGAGTTATATTTCTGAAATATTATTTATCTTTTTGTCACTAAGCATCTGCATAGATCTAACTTTTTTAATTATTAATTTTATAGATTATTAACATTATCAGGAAGATGCTGTGGCCTATACAATAACTACACGCAAGCTACAGATAAGATCTGGATTTAACTATCCCTCTTTCACTAACCAAAAAGCCCTCTCAAGGTAAAATGGCATGGACCTTGCTGAATGGCTTGGACTGTGAGTTCAAGATGCTGCTTTAACTTGATTTTTGTAGATTTCATTTCTTTCTTCATCACTGTCAAACTGTATGTCAGAATTATCCTGATCTTCTGTAATATATGTTCATCTAGATCTCAAGTTACCAAAGAAAAAGATTCACTGAACTTATGGGGCTTATTTCTGACCATGCATAAAACTGCAATATTATCAAATAATAGTTTTTTTAATGGCAGAATGATACATGACATTGGTTGTTGAACTACCAGTTATTAAGTTAATGATTAGACATTATCAGCACCAGAAGTTCTACAGCACTCAAACCTTCCAAAACAACTAATTTTAGGCCTCAGATTAAGCAAACAGAATCAATAGAGAGAAGAGTGTCTCAATGACATCTAGGCTCTGGGCCACCGAAAGTTTTGTTATTTGTTAACAAGTATCTTGAAGTGCAGTCAGAAACATATTGGTGTCAGTGCAGTTCCTGCAGCAATGGGATTATATAGAAGTATTTTCAGTAAGTATATGGACGATGCTCTTTGCAGCATTTGAAGCTTCTGAGTGGCCTCCACTCTGCGGTCTCCATGGGCTTGCCGATATCAAGCAAATTATACAAATCCATTAGGAAGATATGAAGGACATGTGTGATCACTTTTAGTATTTCCTGTTCCACATAATAGCATAATTGGTGCACCAACCAAACCTGGCCAAATCCTGCTGGCCATTGTTGTCTAGCAGGTAATGTGAGCCAAGGATGATCCCTAGATTGCAGGTCATCTCTCCATGGGGCCACACCATCCCACTGAGTGCCAAAGATGAAATAATCCCTGAATGAATAAGATTCTAAATGTAAAGCAACTCTGTTTTGCTTAGACTGATATTGATCAGGGATTCCACTATATCCTCCATTTATTCTAAGATAGAGATGTCTGAGTATCATCTGCATACTGATAAAAACATTAGGGAGATAGCATATGGTTTAAATGTCATAGTTAAAAAAATCTAAAAAATCTAAAAATCTTTTTTTAAATAAACCATTCAATAATCTAAATCATGACAAATCAGTTAGCATATAGGCACTTTGCATTATTTAAATAACAATTTAAAGCAGTTTTATGCAGATATGCTCTGGTTTTAGTGAGACTTCAATGAGACTTTCTTGTAATGTGTGTTATTTCAAATAGCAGTTTAAGAAATTGAAAATGTTTAACATATTTAATTTTAGTATGCTTAAAAATGACATGACTTTATAAAAACAAAACAAATATAATATACATTTAGTGTTTAAAACAAATTATAGATGTATTTATTTCAATTGCCCAATTCTACTTATATTGTATATTTTAATTAGCTCTAATTAATATTATCAAATAGCACATTTTTCAAAGTTAAGATTTCTAAACTCTTTCAAAAGTAGCATAAGTTAACTTCACAGTGATTAGTTTAAATGTCAACAAAACTAATCATGCAATTGCTCAAACATATGAAGGAGAAGAAAAACCTATCTAGGAGCATATTAAAAGTGAAGGATTTTAAAATGAAATAATTTGAAATCTTCATTATTTTAAATATATAATATGAACAAACCTTATTTTTCTTTACTGAATTTGTAACTTCTTCCTTGTTTGAAGGATCTTTATAATTAAAACAAAAAAGAAAATATTCAACTTTTAAGCCCTAAGGCAAATATAATCAATCCTAATAAATTTTAAAGAAATTCTGTTGCAAGTATTTAACTACTGAAAGAACTTAAAATTCAGGAAAAAAAACCTTATTCCAAGTCTCTTTGAAAGTTATTCAGAATAACACATAAAATATGTATTTCTTTCTTAACCGCTTTGTTAACTCAACAAGGAAGCTGCAATTCAGTAACACAGCAATTGCAAGGAAAGGTTTCTGCAAGGAAAACTTTCATGTCCTCATCACACAGCATTAAATGCCATAGCATTTAAAACCATAAGAATTATGCTGGATACCATATAAAACTAACCTAGTCCAACAACTTGTTCCCATATTACCAAGGCAGGTATCTATGGCATCTCTATATGTACAACTTCACATCCAAGTTCCTCAGCAACTGATATTAAGAGGATATTTTTTCAATACTAGAAATGTTACCATTGTGAATGCTAGCTATAGAGAGAGAGAGATATTTGGCATACATTGTTTAAATTTCTTTTAAAATCAACAGTGTTGGAGTAATTACATGAACTATGGAATCTAAAGAAGTGCCATTCGTTTTATAACCTCCAATAATTAAAGTTAATTGAATGACACCAGATGTCAAATTATGAAAGAAAAACTTTCCCCAAATATCAAATTATGAAAACTTTTCTCTATCCACATCTTACACATTATTCATAATCATACAGCATCTGTACAATAATTTTATACACACACACACACACACACACAATTATCCTCTATGCTTTGATTTTGTTTAATGCTATAAGCCATAGCTGAACTATAAAAGTTCAGATTAATTTTAATAGAATTAAACAACAAATTAAATGATGTTATGGTACATATTTGACCATTCATTTAAAGTTTATCATTAGATAAATATCTGATCCGCCTCCCATCTGACTCACTGGATTGAAACAAAAGATTTCCTGTTTCTTGAATTTTAATGCAGGAAACAGGTTACAATGCATATTGATAGTATTTTAAAAACCAAATAGGCTTTTTGAATCACATCTGTCTGCACTTAGATCTGTTAACTGAAGCACAAACACATGCATACATGCAAAAACAACATTAAAACACTTAAATATGAATATGAGCAGACTTGTGTGAACAAAGGCTTTTGATTTTGCAAAGGATTTTGTGCTTTGTGGAAATTTGCTTAAGATATGTACTAAACATGAAAGATTAAGCTATAACACAGTCAATTAACGTTTCTGTTAACTTTTTGCTTCAATAGGCTAATATAGGAAGACTTTTAGAACTGTTTCAGACAGTGAATTTGGTAAAAAGAAAACCAAAATATATTCAAAGCATTCCTCAGAATAGTTTAATTGCGCAAGATAGTTAATTTATTAGAATAACAAATATATTTGAAGAATAAATGACAAAGAACAAATGTCAAAATGTCAAAATAAGGCTAAGAAGTTGACCAAATGACTCACTTACTGTAGTTTGGGTTCCAGCTTTTATAGAGTATTGGTAAAAAATGTATGCCAGCATTTTCCTGTTTTCTGGAAAAAAAAACACATCAAAGATTACTTATAATTAAAGTTAATTTTATGTTTTTTAATAATGTATCTGAGTGCCTTTAAAAAAAATATCTGAAGGTATTTTAACAAAACTATAATCCAGAATAATCTAATAAAAAAAGAACAATCAATAACCCACTCTATTAACAAACAAGTAAATAAAACTAAATTTGTTCTTCTAAGCAACATGAAGGCTGATAGTACATATAATTAGGAATACAGATATTCCTCAATTAGCATCTGTTCAAAAGTACGACCCCCCCCCAAAGTCCTTATGATCTGGTCCCAAAGTTACATATGTTGCAGCACCATAGCAGTCATTCACCCTTATAACCAACCACAGAGACCCTGCAACATGCCCCCTGCCTATTTCCTCCCCATCCTGCCCTGTAGAGTCTCCACAGGCACCGGACCTGCTTTGCTATTCTCTGGATTCAATTTGCTCCTCCCCACCCCATTTCGCTTTACTTGCTTACTTTTCAAAGATCTCCAGAGTTCCAGAAGAGGCTGATCCATGTGGTAGAAAAGCCAAAGTAATTTCTTCAGATGCTGATGAAGCTGTAACAATGTGAGATATAAAGAAAACAGCTTTGCCAGCATCTGAATAAAAGACTTTGGCATTTCTGCCATGAAGCCAGTGTCCCTTCAGGTCCTGTTTGCTGCTGGCTGGCTGGTTTGAATGAGCTGCTTCAGGGATTGGGGTGTGAAGGCAGTGGCAGCAGCCAATCAACGTGGAGCTTGTTTCCTTTGCCTCATTGGGCTGAACTGCAAACTCCATGTTGATTGGCTGCTTCATATGCAAAAACATATTAAAATTGAAATATTTCAAATGTGAAAATAATGTTTTTTATATTGTAAAGATAGTTTACATGCGGTATTGCTAACCTTTTGCAAGTTTTCATAGTTATAGGGCAATTCTTGCCCTTATTACAACTGATGATGTCATCTTTTTTGCATATTTGTTGCTTTATTTCAACCTGCAAAGAAATTAATATTAAAATTAGTACAATAGTTTTCCAATAATTTGTTCTAATATTTATTCTTTAGAAATAAATTATTAATGAACCTATAACAATATTCACTTGTTTAAACATTATTTACAAATACTACTATATATTTTCTAAATGAACTTTGAGTCAAAGTAAGAATATATTGTCAATCTCAGAAAAAGAGTAAAGCATACTGACATACTGAGTTTCAAAGCAGAAGAGGAAAAAACAGGCGAGGTTTCATGTGAATTAAAACTATAGCTGCTACAACTGCTTTTGTTACTGAAAACGAACACTATAAAAACTAATTTTATGAAATAATGTCAATAAATCTTGGAACGTACCTTTACAGAATCTTCTGAAGTATTTAGTTTATATACAACCTTGAACTGTTTGCGGTCCACTGGGCACGAAGCCCTTATCTAAAAGATTTAAATTAATGTTCAAAATTTTAATCTGAATTTTTTAAAAATTATAAGTATATGTTTTTGTTATAATCCATGAGGGATATAAAACATAAACTTGCATCATATTACCCTGGCATCCACTTAAAGTTCTAAGTATTATCATTTATTTTTCACATTTCATTTTTACATTTTAATTTTTATATACTGTTTTTATATTTTGAAGTTTAATAGTACACCACCCAGTCTCTCCTTGATGAAAATGGATGGTTCACAAATGTAAAAAATAATCATTTACATATATTAACATGCAACTTTACATGAATAGACTCCTGCTTGAGTGTCCCAAAGGTGCTTTTTTAATGAGGCAACTAGTCTTTCTTGTTTTTCTTTGAAGATGTTTCGCTTCTCATCCAAGAAGCTTCTTCAGCTCATTCTTTTAGTGAGTCACTTAAGCCCCTGGAGGTTTATCTGTGTTGTCTGTGTTCTTGGAACTGTTGAAGGCTCCACACCCATTTGCACTACTCAGGTGACTCTGATGACACATATAAACCTCCAGGGGCTTCAACTCACTAAAAGAATGCAAATGACCAGCTATCTGCAAGGAATATAAATCCTGCCATTCCCCAATGTCCAGTCTGAGCTGAAGAAGCTTTTTGGATGAGAAGCAAAACTTCTTCAAACAAAACAGGAAAGTCCAGTTGCCTCATGAAAAAAGCACCTTTGGGACAACATGATCTGGATGACTGAGAATCTCCATAGATACTCCTGCTTGAGCAATGTGACTATTATTTCCTCACATAAATAACCACAAATGCTTGGAATTGATTTAACATTGAATGCGGAAAACTGACAATGATTCCATGAGCAAAATAACACTATAATTCCCTCGAATGTTCAGCAGTTACAAAATTTCTTTTGAGTGGGTGGAAGTCAATAGTTGTTCCATTTTTACAATTTTGGAAAGCTTAAGTAGCTCTTCCTTCTAGGGAAAATGGATTTCTTTTGTTAGATTTTTTCCTCATACATACAGCTATAATACATCTAGTAAATCTGGAAAGTTGATTAAATAAAATTTCACAGTCCTGTGAATTAGCACAATGTGAATCTGGGCATTGCAAATCTCTTTTAACTCAAGAAAATTTAAGACCAAGTAATTTCACAAAAGAAGCTGCTAGACACCACAGCGGGAGTCTCGGCAACTCCAGCTGATGTCACTGTGGCCGTAGGTGCAGCATCAAGGGGATCTGCCAGAGTAGCCGCCCTGGCAGGGACTGGCCCAGTGAAGGTAAAAAGTCACCCCTTTGTGTGAAGTTTGATGGGGACCCCCAGCAATTGAGGTTCTTCCTGGCCCATGTCTTGACTTACATGCAGGAGTATGGTCCAAGAGTTATGAACTGATCATAAAAATCTTGAAGCACTGAAAATCCCGCGGAAGCTGTTGCTCAAGCAAGTCTGATGGGCACAGTACTTTAATTGCTTTGATTTTACGTTATGCTACCTTCTGGGGGAGGAAGAACTTCCTAGCAGATGCCTTATTGTGAATACCTCAATATAATTGCTCTAAAGCAGATATAATTAAATGGTTGATCCCATCTTGCCAGTTGGCTGCTCTAGTAACCACCTGAGCACAGGCTAAGGAACTGCAACCTGTAGACAATGAAGTGACTGCAGCCTTAAAGGTGCGCTGCAGGAAGACAACTGTTTTCAATGCCACAAAAATGAGTGCTCAGTTTGACATGGATTGGTTTGGGTGGGAGCTAAGCTATACATGCCAGAGAGCCAAAGACTGATGGTTTGGGGGAAGAGTCATGACTCCAAAGTTGCCAGACATTTTGGGTTTGTTAAAACTTTATACCGTGTTAAAGGGCAGTTTTGGTGGCCAACGCTGAAAAAGGACGTTGACAGCTATTGGCAAGTTGTCTCATATGTGCTTCAGCCAAGCAGCGGCAAGGGATAACTCCAGGATTCTTTCAAACCATGGTGGAACCATCAGCACCATGGAGAGATCTCAATGGATTTCATAGTAGAACTCCCCGAAAGTTCAGGGAATATGGTTATATGGATAATAACTGATTTGTTCTCAAAAGAGGTGCATTTTGTCCCATGTCAAAAGATCCCATTGGCATGTGCACTAGCCAAACTGTTTGTACAGCATGTGTACCAACTACACAGTGCCTTCCAACACATCATTTCAGACTAGGGGGATACAGTTCACTTTCAAGTTTAGGTGAGCATTTTTAAACCTCCTTGGTACCAACCAGGGGCTTAGCTCTAGTCACCACCCACAAATGAACAGGGGGTGCGAATGTGTGAACTCAATATTGGAACAATATTTGAGGTGCTACATTAACTATCTACAAGGTAATTGGACTACCTACTGCCTTTTGCAGAGATAGTGTCATGCCTCTGTCTGAGCCTGAATCTGTGGAGGAAAATGAACTGGAACGGGACCCTATGGAGACCGAGGGAGAGATGTCTGTGGCTTCAGAGAAATGTGGGGAAGAGCAGGCCGAGGCAGGACAGGGCCCTTCAGGATTGGAACAGGAGGAACAGGAGAGGCAGAATTCAGACGATGAGCAAGGACCTCCCCCACCTGATCCTAGAGCATGGAGACTGGAGAGAAGGAGGAAACAAGCAGGCAGTCTCAATTACTTGGGAGAAGACAAGGAACACCCAGAGATTGAGATTTAAGGAGACACTGTGGAGAGGGGCATTTGTCGGGAACAAACGCTGATTCTTGGAGTGTTGTGTATCGTTGCTGATCTCTTGTTCTGTGACTTCTGTTTGGAAACCTGGAAACCCGAACTATTGGATTGACTGACCACGTTAAAGTGGGAAGCTGGAAAAATACTGATTGTCTGACAGAAATTGTGGGTGAAAGGGAGGTTTTCCTGTTCCCCAGACCACACTTAAATTTAGAAATGCCAGACTAGCCTGATATCCTGTTTTTAACTCTGCACATGATATATTGCAAACTGCTAAAAGCATTCCTATGTTGAAAAGAGGAACTATAGATTATAACCATGTCTAGTAACTTTCCTATGTTAGAATAAGGAACTATAGAATGTAACCATGTATGGAATATGTCTTGATCAGGAAATACCTACGTATTGGGGGTTATAAATATGATCATCTATGCCCCGGTCGGGTGTTCAGACCCTTTAAGCTGTGAATAGCCCTCTGAACCTGCGCAAATAAACTTTTCTTCCACAAAAGAGCTGACTCAAGTCTCTCACTTCTACAACAGTTTTGGGAAACTTGAGTGAGGCGATGTTTCGCTGAGGGCGGCTTGACCCTTCGGACCTGCTGGGAAGCCATCTCTGAACAATTCTCCAGGCGCCACGGGGGTCATTCCTCCAGGAGACAGCTGTGGCTTGTCAGCAGAGCCGACAGTGCTGAGAGCCAGTCCAAGAACCCTTTGGGAAAGGAAAGGAGGTCTGAACCAGCTCCTGGCCAGGACGAGTGTAACAACAAGGCAGGCGAGTATGTGTTTAAACTAATTGTACCTTCTCACTTGAAGATAGAAGAGGGGGCCTGATCACCCCCTGGACTCGGGGCAGTGGTCCTAAAGAAGTCTGTGTTAAGCTGTGTGGGTGGTTAAGCCAGTGCATTTCCTATTAGTGACCGTTGGAACGTCCGGCACTGTAGGTCATTGGCAGTGTGTTAGGATGGGGGGGTGTAGCAGTGTTCCCAGCACACCGCTGGAATGCATGTTAAAAGGATTTGATAAGTACTTTAATCATACCCAGTATAAGGTTCCCTATCCAAAGATAACTAGGGATAGGCTACAGTTTTTATGTGAGCATCAATGGCCTCACATGGGTGTGGGGTGGCCCCCGGAGGGAACTTTTAAGAATCAAATCATTGATGATCTCACTTCTCTGATAACAGCCAATGAGGAAAACTATCCTAACCAATTTCAGTATATAGATCAGTGGGGGGATGCAGTAGCAGGGCAGGCAGATGAGTTATTGCAATGTCAGGCTGAAATGGTTCGTTTGTGTGTGGCTAGACCTAAAGGGAAAAGGCTTCAGGTTGAGACTAAAGGAGTGAAGGATGTGAAGATTTTAGAGACTAAGGTATCAGATGTAAAAAAAGAGATAAAGGTGGAAGTAGAGGAAGTAATCCTTAGACCCCCTCCCTATGTGCCGCGCCTCTCCCCCATGCCCCCAGTGCCGGCTGCAGCAGCTGCTGTGCCTGGGGATGGGCTGACTGTTTCTGCTGTGCCCAGGGACATGCAACTAGCTGTGAGACAGAAACAAAGGGGGAGGCTGTCGGCCCCCAAGAGGAAGGGGATTTGGAAGGTCTCTCTGTAAATGTGAGGGGAGAAGTAAGTGAAGAGGACGTGGCAGGATGTACAGCAATTGTTGAATACTTTGTTGACTCCGGAGGAAAGGGAAAAGTGGAAGGCTGCTGATAGGTAGTGCTTGAGAGATAGATTGCCAGCTGTACAGGATATACAGCCAGAGTTGGAAACAAGGGCACCAGAGAAGGATCCAGAACGGAATGCACAGGATCCACCACAGATGAGATTGCTGAAGGAATATCAGAATTTAATAGTAGAGGCTCTTTGCAAGGCTGAAAAGCCTCTGGTGAATATGTCAAAGCCATCTTTTGTGATGCAGGAAGCAGATGAAAGTCTGGAGAGTTTCCTGCAGAGATTGATTGAGGCTTATAAGCTCTATACTCAGGGTGATCCAAGGAGTGCTGATAATGTGAGGATGTTGAATGAGAGGTTCATAGCAGAGAGCTATGATGACATAAGGAAGAAGTTGCAGAGGCTGGAGGGAGCATTAGGGAAGAATACTACAGAGTTGTTGGAAGTAGCAAGGAAAGTGTTTGTTAATAGGGATAAGGTGGAAAAGAAGGAGAGGCGAGGATGCATAAAAAGAGTTGTTGTCTGTGGTGTTGCAAGGAGGGACCGTGCTGGGACCTAATCAGTGTGCTAATTGCAGAGAGGAAGAGATTGGAGAGGAAGAATAGGTAGAAGACGTGGGGGTGTTGAAGGTGGACCC